CAGAAGCAGATGGTTGGACGGCGAAGACGGAGAAGGCGTCAAAAGCCACATGCTCATAGTTGCTGTCGAAGGAATTACCCAGGGAGTGCGCCTGCATCGTCGTTATATCCGTGATTGTTAGCGTGCCGTTAGTCCTGAGAGTCGCGAGAAGATGCGCGGAGAGAAGACCTGTATCCGCCGCAGCAACCTCGTCTTCTGTTGCTACACGTCGCCACCAAGTAACACGAAAGGGGAGATCGCTGCTGCAGGGGGACAGCAGGGTGCCATGTGACAAATCGGCCAGAGGGGGTGCAGAGTCCGGTAGGATGCTTGCTAACAGATTGCAGGCAGGGAAGGACCAAACGGAAACTGAATGCGAACAGTGTATGGCTGCTAACAGACTTTCACCCAAATCAGTGCTGCTGGAGAGATTGAACATGAGAAAACCATCCTCGGAGTCACCTCGCCAGTATAAGTTCTTGGAAAGCAGTGGGCGGCGCCTCATGGTGGAAGAGGAGGAGAGCAGGTGGCGAGCCAGCGAAAAGAAAGGTGCTTTCGTAGAAACGGAAATGGCAGTAAGCCCATCGGGCGCCGAGGAAGCGAGACCACGATACTCACTTCCAAGTAAGAGCAGCCTCCTTTCGGGGTCGTATACAGCTGCGAGGATGGCTGCCTCTGGCGTAAATCTAATGGCACCGGACCAGGCACCGAGACCACCAGAAAAGAGTTCCTTAAAGTGCATTCGACAGAGCAGTTGAGCAGGAAACTGGCCCCTTGTAGGTTTCAGTTTCCACATCTCCAGATGGCCCGTGTACCGGCAGACGAGAAGGTGCGAGGAATCACCAGCAAAGTGCAGCAGCACTAGCGGTGAAAACTGAACCTTGCTGTTGTCAAATGGCGGTGGGATAATTATTCGAGGGTGGGCAAAACTCATCTCCTCTTTTTCTGGATCCACGCCAAGACTGAGAACCTCGATAGTGCCGTTACTGAAACCGACAGCTGCAAACACGCTTTCGATATCCTGAAGCTCCTGCGATGGCGCACTAAGTGCTAGCACTCGCCACTGACAGTAGGGATCCACATAGGTCAGAGGCCAACGTCTTGGTGAGGAAGAGGTGGAAGAGTCAGCCCAGAAGGCGCCTGCGGTGTCAGGGAGATAAGTGGAGGGGGAGGCATCTGTAACTGGGTCTATGCTTGAATCTTCGAGGGTAGTCGCCGTAAAGGAGGGGGGCGCCTTGCTGGTAGATGACAGTTCCAGCCAACGAACTCCCAGACATACGACCAGCCGAGCCGAGTTGAAGTTCAAGTAGCCAACAGTCCATGGATAGCCTGAACTCCTAAAATGACAATAGGCGGAAAGGACTGCGGACGGCCTCTGCACAGAAATCAGCAAATCGGTCAGTGATTGTTTCAAGAAGGTGAAGACAAAAGACGTCGGGGGCGGGGTGGTAGACGGTGACCCATCTGTCCCCCCTCGGGACCCTTCAGGATGCGAGGAAGCATGCAGGCGGCTGCATCGGCGAAGTTTCGGGACGAGCGACAGGGGGTCGTAGGAGATCAAGAGCTGGGGAACATGGGTATCAAGTTGAAGAAGGTCCTCACGAATGTACAAAGTGAATTGTGAAGAGCCAGTAGCCGGGAGCTGAGTCGGTGACTCTTCGGTGGCAGTTCCACGACGTCTTACAAGGTAGTCCTACAGCACCAAAACAAAATATGAATTATGGTTGACAGCAGAAGAGACTTGATAAGACCTACAAACCCAACATAGGAAAGTCTTAAAATGCAGCGGCCAATACTGCCATGGTGAGTCCTACATGTTTCGGTACTAGAAATCGATAGATCAAGTAGTTTAACGAAAGAAATGCTTACAAAAATAATGAATAATTGCGAAGAAGTGTGATCAGAGTCACAAAGGTAGCATTTGAGAGTGTTTTCAGAAGACGGGGGTAAGTAGTTCCGCAATATCGTAGGCATTATTACACTTTTGATAATGTTTAATGGTTGAGGTGGATATTTTCTATACTACACACCTCTTTATTATTTAGAGAGGCGTTGAAGTGACGTGCGGTACCTGGATGGCAAATCATAGATGCCCCAGATGCGCTGGCATCAAAAGCTAGTAAAATCCTGAGCACAGATGTTTCGCGAATCGACGATACGTCTAAAAACAGCCCTCAAATTATTTTGAGGATAAATGCAAGTTTGCAAGGAGAGACCATCAGTCGCAGATGTTTCGACGTACCCGCAGTAGGTGCATGGTCCTGGCCCAAGCCATTATTTTACGTTGTAATGAGCAAAAAACTGCTCAGACATTATTTATTCTACGGGCGTGTGTTGATAACGGTACTTGCCTAGGACACATTTTGGGAGGAGTGAAGAACAGAAATGCAAAGTTACCTTTTTGAATAAACTCAAAAAGATGGGATCTAAATCGAGCTGAAAATGGCCAACGTGATGGAAATCGGCTGCCACCTATCCGTTTTGTGGGTCTGCATGGGATACCTACTGGTGCTTGAACATTTTAATATTTCGTCTTCGTTAGTTGGTGCAGATAACTGCGCTAAATTCATTGGTTGACTAAAGGCTTACTGGGTGTGGGGTGTATAGGCTGAATCGAAAGTCTGCTAACCGGTAAAGCCGTCAGCGCTAACGCAAGTGTCAGTAAAAATAGTATGTGTATGAATTGGTTGCATTAAAATAATCAATCGTCTACTGTGCTTGTGCGACTTATGGCGGTGCAGTATTGACCGAAGAAAAGAAGACTGAGGCGAGAGAGGTAAGATACACCCAGAACAGTGTCTCAGAATGGGAAATGTGTGTTAAGTGCATCCCTGAGATGAAAAGACTTTTGCGTGAATCGACGCTGAAA